GTTGCCGGACACGGAAAAAAGACAAAAAAAAAAAAAAAAAAAAAAAAACTGTCCTCCAATTACATTGGATCAGTTGACCAACAATAGCGAACGAGTGAGTTTCTCTCCCCCCCCAGGTTGTTTGTACTTAGCTGTGATATGTACTTGCTGAAGTTGATTAGCAAACTCTAATCACCAGAAGTCTGAAAACATTTTCTCAGCTGAGAGGAAAGACACAAAACACCAGTTGCTGATGGTTTTCCTCTTTCTGAAAGAGGGGAGGTGAGGTGTTCTTTGAGTAGAGCATAAACTTTAGAATTAAGCAGTCCTGGGTTGGCTCTAGACTATGTGAGTTCAGCTCAACAATTGAGCACCTGTTATGCACTGGGCACTCATGGTATGACAGAGAATATGATGGACACAGCCCCTGTCCTGATGAAGCTTACTCTCTATTGTAACTTGGCACAAGTTATTTTGCCTCTGATCATCAACAACACTATTGTCAAAAATGTCTAGTAGAATCTTAGTGAAAATTATGATAAAATACATGCAAAGTGCCTGGCACATGCTGTACTCCCACTGAAAGTCGTTATTATGTCATGCAGTGCGCTTCATGAGTTTGTAGCCTCAGTCCTCTGTTCTTTTAAATGTGAACAACTGAATTTATTGATGAAGTTGTTAAAAATACTCATTCCTTTGGCAAACTCTGTAATAGGATTAAATCTCAGGATCATTCTGTGTCTCAGCTCAGGTTGATTTGTAGACCTTAACTAATTATCTTCACAATATGTCGAGGGGTGTTGGGGAGAGGTTCAGCTAGGTGCTAATCTACTTACAGGGGAATATACTCAATATTTGATCAACAGATCTAGGCTGTATTCCTGTTGTCATGCATTCTATTAATATTTTATTAGGTAAATTATGAAATAGTTTTAAAAGAGACTTTGTGTGTGTGTGTATGTGAGGATTTTGCTTTATAAAATACAGATAAAAACTTTTAGTTTACATCATTTTTTCTCTTATAACAAGCATGATACAGATTTATATATGAGATTTTAGAAGTCCAGAAAACTGTGGAAAAAAATCATTTGTAATCTCATTACCCAAAGATAATCACTCTTAATATTTTTAATGTATTTTCTTTTAGCCTTTTTAATAGCACATATATTTTATAAAATTGAGTTTATATTTTGTATGTGATTTTGTACCTTGCTTTTAAAATTTAATCACATTATACTTATTTTCCTTTGTTACTCAAATTCATCACAAACCTTTTGCTTCGTAGTGGCATGCTATAACTTTGTGAGAATATAGTGTAATCTACTCAACTGTTGACACTGAAGCCACTGAGATCTTTTAAAAATGCTCATCTGGTTGTTGCCCTTTAAGGCTTCACTTTGCTCTTAAGAGGACGGGGTCATCCAAGTTTGGCCCCTGCCACTTCTGAGCCTCACCCCCTGCCACACTCCCCTCATTCTCTGTGCTCGAGCCATCTGTTCCAGCTATCTGGGTCCTTTGATCTCTTCTTGCAAGTGCCTCTTCCTCTTCCCAGATCCCTCCCCTTCCCTTGCTTGGGTAATTCCTGTTCATCCTTCAGCTTTCTGCTCTCAGGGAGGCCTTTCCTGTTCCTTAGATAGGTCAGTCTGCTCTGAACAGGACTTTTAGAGCATCCTGCCCTTTTCCTTCCCAGCAGGGAGCTGATGGTACTTATCTGCTTATTTTTATTGTTAGTAGGGTCGCCCATGGCTCCTTCTAGAAGGTGAGCTCCATAGAGCAGAGGTTGTGTTTGTTTTGGTTTTCTTTTGTATTCCTAGTACCTGGAACACTTTTTTGAATGAATGAATGGTGAAAAAAACAAATGTGTAAACAAGCTAGTTCCTTATATTGAGATCTTCAAACAGCTTCCCATTCTTAACTGTTGTGAAAAACGGGCAATGAAAACCTTTGTCTGAATTTTGTATTCTTTCTTTCAGATAGATTCTCAAAAGTGGAATTAAGGAGTCTGACCTTTTAAAGTTCTTCCTGATTTATTTCTAAAACGCTGGGGTGAGAGTACCTCTCTCACTGAATATGGAACATTTGCAGTAAAATAACTTACTAGGAACCATATGGGCATTGCAGCTCTGTGCATTGGTTCATGATCATCATTAGTGGCTTGTGCTTGAGAGTCAAGTTCAGGTTGCTGAGCATCTTTGTCAGATTCATCACCCTCAACAGTAAGCAGAGGGCAGTGAGGGCCTTACCAGGTATTGTCTAATAACACAAAAAATCAAAGTGAAAGATTCTCCCCAGGCCACTTAGATTTGTATTAGAGGAGGAAATACTGTGATTTGTTTATTTAATTAATGTTATGAATCCAGGGTTTCTTTCTTCAGTATTCTAAAATGTATCACCTTCTGGATATGTTTGTCATTTGAGAAAGATCCAAATTACTTTCCTTAAATGAGCCTTGGGCTCAGCATGCAGGCATACTAGTAACTTTAAAATTTGACTATTTTAATTACATCATGTGAATTGTACCGTTTGGTATTTATGGACTGTCATCCATTTAAACATTTTAAATTTAAAGACAAGACAACCTATGTTGATCAGACATACTTGTATGAATAGTTTCATAAATAAAAACTTTACAGTTACAGTGGATACAGCTGAATGCTTTCTAATTAAAAGCACTATATGATTGTTAGTACGTGTAAGGTTCTTCTTTGATAACCTGGACATACCATCCAGAGGGAGCAGTATGGCCAGAGAGGAATTCTCACCTGCTTCTTTGGTCTCATCAGCCAATTCCTCTCCTCAGTTTATTTTGTAGAACTTTGGTGACTATCATTTGCTGATTTTAGAAACAAGCTCAGCCATATCAACAGCAGTGGAAGCCCCATGCAGGGAAACTTCTTCACATGTATGGTCACATTGAGTAGAGGGCTGCTGCATCAGTGTTTTCAGGTGGTATAGAGGATGAGGGTGAATGTGCAGGCTCTAGAGTTGATCTGCCTGGATTCACATACTGGCTTTACCACTCGCTAATTGTACGACTGGGCAAATACTCAGCTTTCTCATCTGTAAAATGGGTATAATAATAGAGCTGGGATTAAATAATTAGCATAGAGTTTGTCACATTGTAAGTACTCAATAATTGTTAGCTATTATTATTGTTACTATCTTAGTCATTGTTACTATCTTATTGCCATATTGGAAGAGACACAATCTATGAGGCAGACCATGTTTTCTTTTCCACCACATACACGGAATCGAACACAGTGCCCGAAACACATTGTCAGATGTTAATAAATAACAATCATATGTTAACAAATGGTATATGAGGTTAATAAATGCCGATCCTATTTCCCCCGTTTGTGTTCTAAACCAACCATGATAGAGGAGAAGAAAGATGGAGATTCACACATCAGCCCTGTTACTGACAGAGCTGTGGGAGGGAATAGTTCACACAAATCAAGCTTCTTGTTACTGTGCTGCACGGTTAGACAGCCTGCGTCTCCCTGGTCCTGGAGCCCTGCTGTCCAGGCCTGCAGAGGCTCACCTGGCTAAGCGTCTGCTGTTTCCCATGCTCACCACAGTCAGGCACATCCTTACCAGAAAGGGGGAGGAGGAGCTCAGTTTTTGAATTCTAGGTCCTGTTCCAAACTCTTCATTAGTTCCTAGGAAGAAGAGAAGACATGGAGAAAGGCCAGAGGTCTTTTACTAATGGGTGGCCTTCACAATGGTAACTTGCAGAAAGGGAGAAAGGGTCACCCCCAACTGTTGGTTGAATGAACAGGCAAGTCTGGATTATCATTACTGAACAAGCTGATTATGTCTAGTCTCATTCCATTGAGACCACTCTGTTAAAATATCCCAGAATCCATACAGTCAGCTTGGAACACAGCTGATTATTGTCGTGCGTGTTGTGAACATCCCCCTCTTCCCTCTCTTGCCTCCCTCTTTCTTGTTCTTCAAGCCTCAACTCAGACATCTCCTGTTTGGCAGGTTTCCCCACCTACCTTATTCTAGGCTAGAGGCCCTTTTTCTTTTTGCCCTACACATATACTGTACTGTCATGCGGCCACGTGCTGACCTGTCTTCTCTTCCCCTAGACTGTGAGCTCCCAAAGGACCACAACTCACTCTTTCATCTTTGTATGTGCCTAGGTCCTTTGGTTCTGATTTTTGAGAGAATGAATGCCTCCATTTATCCTGTTCTGTTTAGTTCACATTAAGTCATGGTGTTTGGTTCACAAGAAAGCCTAGAGTTCATTAGGAAGGTGCAAGGTCTTCAAATGTAACTTGCTGTCATCTATTTCTAGGCTAGGTCCCACCCAGCTCAAAATCTTCACTTGTGAATACTGCAACAAGGTCTTTAAGTTCAAGCACTCGCTGCAGGCCCACCTGAGGATACACACCAATGAGAAGCCATATAAGTGCCCCCAGTGCAGCTATGCCAGTGCCATCAAGGCCAACCTCAACGTGCACCTGCGCAAGCACACTGGTGAGAAGTTTGCCTGTGACTACTGCTCCTTCACCTGCCTGAGCAAGGGCCACCTCAAGGTGCACATTGAGCGGGTGCACAAGAAGATCAAGCAGCACTGCCGCTTCTGCAAGAAGAAGTACTCCGATGTCAAGAACCTCATCAGGCACATCCGAGAGGCGCACGATCTTCAGGACAAGAAGGTCAAGGAGGCCTTGAATGAGCTCTGCCTGATGACGCGGGAAGGCAAGCGGCAGCTGCTCTATGACTGCCACATCTGCGAGCGCAAGTTCAAGAACGAGCTGGACCGTGACCGCCACATGTTGGTCCATGGTGACAAATGGCCCTTTGCCTGCGAGCTCTGTGGCCATGGGGCCACCAAGTACCAGGCGCTGGAGCTGCACGTCAGGAAGCACCCCTTCGTGTATGTCTGTGCCATATGCCTCAAGAAATTTGTCAGCTCCATCAGGCTGCGCTCTCACATCAAAGAGGTACATGGGGCTGCCCAGGAGACTTTGGTCTTCACCAGCTCCATCAACCAGAGCTTCTGCCTCCTGGAACCTGGTGGGGATATCCAGCAGAAAGCCTTGGGGGACCAGCTACAGCTGGCAGAAGAGGAGTTTGTATTCCAGGGGGTGAATGCCCCCAAGGAGGAGGCCTGTCCTGGGAATGCCCAGCCTGAGGATGGACAGAAGGAGCTGGAGGCCTCCGTGGAAATGCCCACCCTGGCTGCACACCTGGCCACCCCCCAGGCTGAAGGTGCTTCCCTGCCATCCTGCAAGTTGGAAACCACTGTGGTCTCATTGGATCTGCACTCTCGTGTGGTGGTTTCGGATGATTTTTTGATGAAAAACAATACCTCCTCTGCTGAGGCTCACGCTGCTGCTACTCCCGAGAAAATCTCAGATACCCAGCATGGAGGCTCAGTCCAGACTCAGGGCGAAGAAATCACGCTACTGTTATCCAAGGCCAAAAGTGCTAAACCAAACCAGGAGACTCAGGGTGCCGAGAGCCCTCCAGGTGAAGGGCAGAAAATGGCTGCCCTTCCAGCCAGCGAACCTGATCCTGGCAGGTGTCTCAGGTCAAACCCAGCTGAGGCTTCAGACCTCCTTTCCCTGGTAACCAGTGGTGGGAACATGGTCATGTGCCAGCCTGACTCTTGCAAACCTGCCTCTGAGCACCGGCCTGGCATCACTGCATTCATGAAGGTCCTGGACAGTTTACAGAAGAAGCAAATGAACATCAGCTTGTGTGAGAGGATCCGGAAGGTTTATGGAGACCTGGAGTGTGAATATTGTGGTAAGGAAAGGTGCTCAGCTGATTGGAGTCTCCTTCCCAACAGCCCCATCCACTCCCGTCACACTGTGGTCCACTTATGCTCTATTTGAGCTCATGTCTCTTTGCAAAGAACGCTTTCTAAATGAGCTACCCTTCTCCATTGTAGATAGGAACAGATGACCACTGTGTTGCAGTTAGCACTTGGATTCTCTGTGGAGGCAGCCAGGATGGCCGCATAGTTGATCGTGTTAGTGTGGTCAGGTGTTACCTCACGACCTCCACCAGAATTCTAACCAGGAAGAATCTTTCTTCTGGCACATGACATGTATAAAGTTGAGCTTTCAGTTTTGACCATGTCCAAGTTGAGCAAAGAGAGGTTATGCAAGTGGCAGCAGCTGTTTGTAGGGAGGCCCCAAATAGCACCCTTCCAGCTCACAGTGAAAGTGTGGCTCTTGGATCTCCTGGGGAGCTGGCAGGGTGAGAAGGAGGAAGTCAACTCCAGACTCAGTGTCTTAGGAGTGTCACTAGAATTTAGAGACTCTTGGAACTATGCATGTGCATCATAGTATTTGGCACTGTAATTGGTCTTTAATAAATACCCATTTTCTCCTCTACTAGCCCTGATATCATGCAAAAAATAGTAGCATCTTTAATATTTGCAACCTCTCACCTTTGAAATGTAATTTCCAGAAAGAAATGTGGCAAACAGTGTGATGGGTGACCTGGACAAGCACAAGAGGGAGATAAATATAGTAGTTAAAAAATAGCAATAATTTTAAAAATTCAGATTTAGCATAAAAGAAACTTCCTTGTTCTCATGTGAAAATATTTTTTTAGGCAAACTTTTTTGGTACCAAGTGCATTTTGACATGCATGTCCGCACCCACACCCGGGAACATCTGTATTATTGCTCCCAGTGTCATTATTCTTCCATCACCAAAAACTGCCTTAAACGCCACGTAATTCAGAAACACAGTAACATCTTGCTGAAGTGTCCCACTGACGGCTGTGACTACTCGACTCCAGATAAATATAAGCTGCAGGCACATCTTAAAGTTCACACAGAGCTGGTAAGTAGCAAGCCCGAGTGGCAGCCCCATCCCCCTGGGTCCTCATTGCTTTCTTCAATTTATGCATATGTAGGTGTCCCTGGTGCCAGTCTATGTGTGATGTCCTGCCCTGAAAACACAGAGAGGCCCTGCTCACTAAACAGCTCTTCACTTTACAGAAGGCTTCACCCCGGGCTCCTGCACAGCGCGAGTCTCTAAGACATTGACCAAAGAGATTAGATTGACACACTGCTTTCTGTGCACATTTTTCAGCATCAGAGAAAGTCTACAGATGAAAGATCTACTACAGGGTAGAAATAAAGCAAAAATCTCTTTAAATGACATTTAAAATAATAACAGAGCTAATGGACATTGACCAAAGAGATTAGATTGACACACTGCTTTCTGTGCACATTTTTCAGCATCAGAGGAAGTCTACAGATGAAAGATCTACTACAGGGTAGAAATAAAGCAAAAATCTCTTAAATGACATTTAAAATAATAACAGAGCTAATGATAATAGCTGCCACTAAAGGTCGTTGAGAAGTTAAACTAGATGATGCCTGTAACGTACCAGGAACAGTATTGGGTTTATAGTAACAGCACGGTAAATGTTGATGACGACTGTTGTCCTATTATTGTCTTATTTATTGTAAACGCTCTGTGAGAGAATGTCTGTGAAGCAGTTTTATCTTTAGAAAAATATGTTAATTCAAAGTGTTGTTAATATTCACGATGGTAATGTTTGTTTAGTTCTTTGGTGGAAGATCATGTAACACAATGAATGAATGTTTAATATTGCAAATTCTAATCTAACTCAAGAGGCAACACCTGAGAGTCAGTTAAGACGTCTTAGTTATAAAGGAGGCACATCTGGGCCAGGTGTGGTTCTGTTTTAATTGCATGCATTTTATGCTGCTGACAGCACAAAGGGAGGCTTCAGAAATGTGATGTTCTACCATCGGTTTCTGGTGTAAAAGTCACTAACACCCTAGCAGTTTGTCACTAAGGGTGAAGTCAGCATGTTTGAGAAGAGTAGGTAGGTCAGAGCATGGGCTTTAGGGTTAGATGCCTGTATTCAAACACTGTCTCCAGCACTCTCACAGGTTCTGTGGCCGTAGACAAGTCACTTTTTCTTTCTGACACCTGGTAGCCTGCTATATGAAATACATATATATCTGTATAATATACAGTCACACACATATGCATATATACACACATATACACAGACGCATATACACACGTATACACATGTGTGTATTTACACACACCAACGCACATACAAACATATGTACACACATGTACACACACGTGTGTGTGCATATATATATTTGTATATGAATAGAGCTCTCCTATGGCTACTAATTAGGAGGTTACAGTGGAATGCTCTAGAGAAAGAACTTGGCACTGTGCTTGTCCTATAGTTGGCTGTGTGTACCAGCTCTTGCATGTCACCTGGTAGGTAGTATATGTTCTTCCTCCCTCCCTCCCTGTCTCTGCCCGCCCCACCCCCCCATCTCTCTGTGTGTCTCTCTCTCTGTCTCTCTGAGGAGCATATGAAGGCATGTGGTTTGTAATTCCTTATGGAATTGCTGTTAGGTTGGTATTGTTTCCAGTACTTTCTTAGGCATGGAAATTGAGGGCAGAATTCATTAATGTGACTTTGCTAGAAGCACATATGAAGTCAAGAGGGAGTGAAGCCAACATGAGAACAGGTTCTTGGGTGAAGCCTTGGAGTGTAGCAGTCAAGACCACAAAGCAGCCTACTAGGCTTTAACCTTGGCTCCCCCATTTACCACATGCTTGGCTTAGGGATGAGTCATCAGTTTAGCCATCCTTGAGTGAGGATGAAGTGAGGGAATGTATGTAAATGTCTCAGAATGGTTCCTGCCATGGAGCCAGCACTATATGCCATTGACTGTCATTATTGTGAATTATTTATTCCACTTATTTTGAAACTTGCTGCTCTGGATTTAGAGGTTTTGAAACATAAGGTAAAAGAATGATAAGAACAAGAAAGTTGTAAATAAGCTTTAGGATCTGGGACTGCCTGTCTTCCCAGCTGGCTGTGTGTGTGAGAGAGATTTTCTTCCCCTGGATGCTGATGCTCGGCCTCCTGGCCACATCCCTGGGCCTCCTGGCTGGCAGGGCAGCATCACAATGTGTGCTATGATCTTTGACCCCAATTTCATACACTTTCATCCTTCTTGACAAATTGCATTTAAAGAAGTTTCTCTTTTCAACTTTCTGTGGTACGTGTCTTCCTTCAGAGAGCCTATCTTTTCGGTATCACCATTTAAGAAGGCATCTAGGGAAGTATGTGCTGGGGCAAAGGGAAGTAGCAGTTGCTGTTTTGGTCCTGTGGCCATGCCCTTGTGCTATCTTACTTAGTTCTCATGTCACCTCTAGGAGTTGGGGATTCTTTCCTCCACTGGGCAGATCAGGAGCCTGACATTGCAGAGGCATTAGGTAACTTGACCATGGTCACACCATTGGTAAGAGACAGAGACAAAATTCAAGCCATGCTCTTTTCACTGCCTCACACTGCCCACAGTGTGGTAGTTGGTCATTAATATCAGCCATGCCATTCTTGCTTGGTCTCTTGGACACTCGTACATCATTTGAAGGAATGTGGTTGAAGTAGACTGTCCCTTGAGGGCAGGGACTGCATTGATACTTTCTGTGCTGTTAAGTGGCAGTTGTGACTCATGCTACAATAACAAAATGTCTCTGCACATTACTGCAAGAGAAGAGTAGCATACTGAGTAAGGGAGTGGGACTCAGTTGACCTTATAAAAAAGGATGTTGTCCTCCTTCTCATTAACACTCACGTTTTCTTGGAAGTTGTTAAAGTTTAATTTCAGTCTTCCCACGCTGATATTTGCAGTTCTTCCAGTTGAGACTTTTAAAGGTGAATGTACTGCTGCTGCTTGTGAAGCTAGAGGCTTCATTCTGTACGTGCCAGGCATTGGGATTTCAAATATGAATAAGAGCCAATCCCTGCCTTCAAGGTGCTCTTTGTTTTGTGGGGGGATAAACAGTAATGGCACTATGGCAACATGCGAGGGTAAGTGAGGTCAACACAGGGCACCCCCCAACTACCCAGAGAGAGCCTGGGAGGCAGAGTTTCCAATTGATGAGTAGCTTCGGGCAAGGGAAGAGGGTGGGGAGGAAATTCCCAGCAGAGTCAACAGCACAAACCAAGGGAAGGCTTCCATATTTATGCCAGGACACTGAATTACCAAGCATTCTTCATGAAGCAGGTGGACTGTGTTGCCAGTATAGTAAGACAGCATAATTTATGAAAACAGATTCCAGTATTTTGAGTTTAGACGTTTGTCTCTTGAACCTGTAAATTATTTCTGTAATGAAGCCAAGGGTACCAAGGAAATGTCAACACGGTAAAAAAAGATCCGCTTTCTCTGAATATAGACTCTTTTTTTTTTTTTTTTGTCTTTTGTCTTTTTCTGTGTCCGGCAATGGATCGCAACCCTCA